CATTAGGAAGAAGGTTTAATAAACAACACCTAAACTGTAAAAAGCAAAATCAAAAGATTACTTCCATGAAATCTGAAGTGACAAGATTATAAAATAAAATTATTAAAATGCCACATGCCCTCATGTAAGACTTAAAGATCTCAGAGGTATTAAATTGGGGCATTATATATTTTAGAAAATGTGAAATGAATTAATTCAAATTGGTTACCCCAGGAAGAGAAACAGAGATGGTGAGAAGTACGGTGAGGTGTGATTTTTGCTATAACCCTTGTCGAAATGGTTGACTTGAAAGTATTATATGTACAACTTTGACTGAAATATATACATGAAATAAATGCATCAGAAAATAACATGCCATACCTCCAATTAAAACAACAAAATAAAACTTTATCTGCTCCAACATTCAGGATGGTGCTTCTACACTATTTAACAAAACAACTCAGCATAAAGGCATTTTGAAATTCACATTATTTTACTACTCAAAGTAAGTTATGCCCTGTGGGTAAAGCTACCAACAACCTGATCCTTGGTCCATTCCATACATCATCCACACTGTGATGATGTAGAGTCAGGTACCATCTCTGCCTTCTGAGAATCTAGTTGTATTTTAATGGTACTTGTTTGCTGGTGTCTCTCAGATGGAGGGCCTCTACTTCCTGGTCCTCAATGGCTAAAGGGAATTTAATCAACAAATATGAAGTAGACTCACTTCTTGTCTCATGACTTTGGAAAAGCATTGTGTTCTGAAGTCTCACAGTGGCACACAGGTCACCAGTGCTGGGTATCACCTAATCTGGTTCTTGTCCAGCCACTCTAGGTTGATTTGAAGTATACATACAACAAAATTTTTTTAAGTCTGGCCTTATGTTTTTTTTTCAAGACAGGGTTTCTCTGTGTAGCCTTGGCTGCCCTAGAACTCACTCTATAGACTAGGCTGGCCTCAAACTCAGAGATCCACCTGACTCTGCCTCCTGGGTGCTGAGATTAAAGGCCAGTACCACCACTGCCCAGCCTGCCATATTCTTATTAGCCCTAAATTCTCCACTAATAAGTCATTTGGTCTGGCCTTCCCAGATACAGAGTCTCCCTGTGTGTTTCAAAGCTGAGCTGAGCCCACCATTGCAATGGCTGGACTCTAAAACGTTCCCCCCACAGAACTGTGATTTCAGTGCTTGCTCCCCAGCTGGTGGTACCTTTTGAAAGGCCATGGAACCTTTAGGAGGTAAAGCCCTGCTGCTGGAAGCTTCTGAAGGTTCTAGCATGGGCCCAGGTTCTGGCCTTGCTCTCTAATTCCTGATTCACCACACACAACCAGAATTCAGTTCTTCATTCCACACAATGATGGACCAAAACCACGACACAAAGAAAACCTTTCTTCTCCTAAGTTATCTCCAGCAGATGCTATGGTCATAGCAACAGAGAGCAAGCAGCTAGTCTCTGACTAACAAGACAAATCTGGATCTAGGGATGGAACTCAGACGCCTAGCTGAAATTTGCCATAACATAGATACACAAACCCATAGCATGCCTTCACATGAGAACATGTGCTAGAGGTGCCAGAAAGACATGAAGAACCAGAGGCTCTGCCTCCCTTACCACAAACATGCTAATCTGCCAGAGTTTCATGGATGCTAGGGTCAAAAACAAGTTGCTGCTCACAGCAACAGAGACAGCCAGAGTGTTGGGAGTGGCTCAAACCCTTTCCCACATGGGAAAGGGCTGCATGATAACCTCTCTGTGGTTTGCCTGCCAGAAAAAGAGCTCCAGGCCTGGGGAACCCAAATCTTTTTTCATTACTTTTATTATGAAAAAATATACATTACATAAAATTCACCTTCTTAGTCAATCTTAAGTGTGTGAGTCAATGGCATTAGATTGTTATGGTGGGCAGTAAACCATCCTGAGCTTTGAACCACAGGAGGCATTACCTTTTTATTATTATTGTTATTGTTGTTGTTGTTGTTATTATTAGAAGAAGACAAAGAAGGAGGAGAAGGAGAAGGAGAAAGAGAAGGAGGAGGAGGAGGAGGAGGAGGAGGAGGAGGAGGAGGAGGAGGAGAAGAAGAAGAAGAAGAAGAAGAAGAAGAAGAAGAAGAAGAAGAAGAAGAAGAAGAAGAAGAAGAAGAAGAAGAAGACAATAAACAGACCTAGCCTCTTATCACTGTTGGCATTCTGGGCCACATAATCTTTGTTGGGGGTGGGGGTTCTTATGTACATTACAGGTAATTAATGGCACTTTTGACCACTACTCACTAGAATCCAATAAAACTCACTAAGTTTTGACAACTAAACATCCCCACAAATAGCCAAATATCCCTCTAGAGACCAAAATGCCTCTATTGAGGGTGACTATATATCCTAGAGGAAGTCACTACCTTTGCTCTCCAAGGTCATTCATTACACAAACATCTTTGAGAAGACATTCATGGCCAGTGAGCTGGCTCAGTGGGTAAAGGTGCTTGCCGTCAAGACCGAAGACCTTAATCACTGGGGTGAAAACAGTCCACACACACACACACACACACACACACACACACGTATATGTATATGTATACACATATGTAGGTATGTGTGTGTAGATATAAATATATGTTTACATATGTATATGTGTGTGTATACATGGAAAGTGAGGATAGTAAGGAAGGCCTGTCTGCCAGGTTGTCACCACAATTATTTAAGATAAGAGCCATGCAGTTCCTGGCCCTCAGCATGTCCCTGATATAAACTAGCTGCTACTTAATACAGACCATGTAGGGATGTCTTCTCCAGAACCGTTGTTCTCGCTGTTATGGACCTAATGGATCTCTCCACACCTGCGTCTGGCTTCACAAAATGGTCAGATCATGGCTACTTAGGACACAAAAGTGGCTCCAAGACCAGCCCCAGCACCTGGTGCCCAGGACGGATCCCAGCACCTTGTGGAACAGAGTGGAAGGGAGCAGGCAGAGCCTCCACCCCCTGCTTTCTTCCCTCCCAGTTGTTCTGTCGCTGATGCTGTCCTTGTCCAGCACCTGCTGCTTACCTGTAGCTCCTGCTCAGCTGCATTTTATTCAGCGATCTTCACACATCCAATAAGAAATCAAGCACTGCAGACGGAAGGCTGGTCCAGTGACATCAGAGACCCGTTCTCCCTCCCAACGCCCCTCCCGCTGAATCAGAAAACACCTGAGCAAACAGATGCCCCTCGAAACTGCACAGGTTGCCTAAGAAGTGATTAGTGGAGAGACATTTCCTTTACTGGTGATGCTGTGGTATTCTCTTGATGTTTTGACTTTAGAATATAAATTACTCGTGGCTTCTACAACTAATAAGTTTTGTATATACATGATTACTCTTCTCTGTCTGAAACCATAATATTTAATTATGGTTTCACAGTAGAGCTAAAATTCTGTTTTCTCCCAGGGAAAAACTAAGTATAACTGGGGTTTATAAAAAAATTATTAGTGAGAACAAATCCTAGAAAATAAATTGGATTTTTGAAATCTGTGAATTTTAGCACGTCAGGCTTTTCCTCAGGAAGACAGTGTGCGCAGAAAGTATGGCGGAATATCAAGCGTCAGGCTCACTGCTGCCCTAAGACAAGCACGGGTGGGAAGATCACTCGTGGATCTGCCCTATTGTGAAACTTGCTTTCAGAAGAGGAAATAGCACATAATAGTCACAGGAACGTGGCAATTCCTAGTCATCTCTCCCTTCCTCCAGAATCTGGCACTAAACGCCAACCCTCCAGAGAGATCTGCAATGACTGCAATAAAAAGTGTAATAGAGAGTCTTTTCAAGTACTTCGTTTTAAAGTTCTCCAAACTATTTCAATATGGAGCCAAGCTTAGAAGTATCAGAATAATCTATAATCTGTTCACGGGATGGTACCAGGGTCAATGGTTTGGTTAAGCAGGCTTCTACCTTATTTATAATCTCCTTTACAATGCAAGTGGATTCTTGTGTGTAAATTCATTCTGGTACACACAGTGGAGGCCTTCAAAAGTACATTGTTTCACTAATATGAACTCTCTAAAACCTTTCAGTGTAAAAATTAAGAAAGTGAAGGGAAGAAAAATATCCTATAATTCCCATAATGCTATTCATATTTAATCAAGAATTACTGTAAATAAAAAAAAATAGTGATGGGGTCTAGGGAGATGGCTCAGTGAGTAAAGACCTGCTCTCAAGCATGAGGAAGTGATTTCAGATGCCCAGAAGCCACTGAAAAGCCAGGCATGGCACACATCTTCAATCCAGTGTTGAGAAGGCAGAGACAGGTGAGTCCCGAGGACTGGCTAGCTGGCTAGTTTAGCCAAATCAGTGAGCTCCAGATTCAGTGAGAAACCCCATCTCAGAAATAAGATATAGAAAAACAAGGAAGATGCTTGATGCCTACCTCTAACCTACACACACTCACGTGTAAGCAGGCAGACACTTGCATATGTGCGCACACACACGAACACTTGGGTAACTGGCTTACTTCTTGCATTTAGCCAGAATTAACAAGACTTAATTCTTCTGTTAGCACACCTTCCTGAAACACAAATAAGTACAGTGTTCCCCCGGCCTACGAAAAGAAATTACTACACGCAGAGAAAACATTTGAGCTGTATTTATATGAGCAATTCAAAAAAAAAAAAAAAAACAAACTAACCACAGAAATTTCAAAGCCCCTGAAGGAGAGAATATCATAGCATTTTAAAACCACTTCTTTTTCTCAACAGAAAATGACTTTTTTCCTAGATTAAAATTCCCAGCTAAGGCTCCTTTTTTAAAATCAGACTTTCTCTGCAAGCTTCTGGCTCACATCGAGCTCCCTCTTGTCTTGCCTGCTTATTAAGAACACACCATTTCCACATTAAAGACAGACAGGTGAATGTTCTCTGGAGGGGTCCTGGGAAAAACTAGGGGTACCGTGTTATACTCCAAAGATCATTTGAACCCTTAGCACCTGAGTGTGTGAGGGGAACCATGGCTGTGATCCTGTTTCCACAAATGTTTCGAGGTGTGAGGATTACCTGGTCAACTGGAACCTCAACCTGTGTGTCTTCGTCTTCTTGGACTTCTGCTGCCCCCCTGGTTTCAGATCTCTCTGCTCCAGCTTTGAAAATGCCTTCATCTGTGGAGCCAAACACGGATGAAAAAAAATCAAAATCCAATCGTGACATCGTGTGGCTGAAAGTTGACATTACAGTGAAATGTCTGAAGGGATTTCAGTTAATATATATATATTAACTGAATATATATATTCAGTTCCTCTTTCACAGCAAGGATTTTAATGTCCTGGCCCGCAGGTCTTCTATTTTAACTGAGAAGAGGTCCCGCGGTCACAATAAAGCTGTCTTGGGAGAGCAGAGCTCTCACATTGTTGCGGCTCACACATTGTTACTAACTGGGTGGCACCAGTGGCCAGAGATGGAAAAGACTCCTGGCTAAACTCCAGTCCCCCTCCTAGCCAGCAATCAGTGACAATGCTCCCTGCTTTACAAAACATTTAAAATTTCCATTTCCCCAGAGAATGCTATGCATTCAATATAATGTAGGCAAACAATTCTCTCTATTCAGAGTAGTGAAACTTGTTTTTACTGCAACAGGCTCAAAGAATGGACTTCCCGAAACCCTCCAGAAAATCAGCAGGCTTTTAGTTTTGCAGATTTCTACAGGATTTTCACAACCTGTGGCTTTAAGCTCTTGACAACAGAGGAGACCTAAGCCCCTAGGGATTTAGGCTAAGCTCCTTCCACTTGCTTCCTTCTGCAAAGCAGCAGTCTCCATTTCCCATATTTGAAAGACTTTTAATGTCTCCCCTCAGCCGTCCCTTCTCCAGGCCAAATAATCAAATCCCAGAGCCATCTGTCATTCTGTCTATCTATTTGCTTCCAGACAGATTTACTGCTGCAGCCACCCTCACAGATGTCTGCTCTGTCTCAATTTTTAAGGCTCTCCAGGGATGGAAACTTTACCTCCTTTACTGGTATTCTACTCCAGTGTTTGATTACCCCTACAATCTAGAACTGCTTCTCTTTTGTCTTCAAGTCACCTCTATTTCTGTAACAAAGGCATGTTTGCTAGAAAAATTACTTGATACATGCCACACAACATGACACATTGCTAAAGCTCCAAGGTCAACCTTAGCTGCATGCAAAATGCATGTTTACATTTATTGAGGAACAATCATACTTAAGGCACCAACACAACAGTCTAAGGTATGAATGAGATGCAGTACCCGGGCTGGGACACAGGTCAGTGGTAGAGCACTCACAAATGTCATCTGCTCCATGTGGCTGCTTAGAGCCCAACAAAGCAGAGAGAAACTGACCTCCACAAGGTGCTCAGAGGTCAGGGATCTCCTAGGCAAACTACAGCAAAGTAGGGAAAGTGGAGATGATAGAGCCAGGGAAAGACACCGGGAAGGAAGAGGGAGGAAGTGGAGGGGTGAAAACTCAGGCATGACTCATATTCTTTTTTTCAATTACAGAACAGTGAGATGACAGACACAGTAGAGTGTAGCTATGACTTACTCCAAATACGGGGCTTACTTACAAAAAGACAACACAGGGAATGCTCTATAATTTATTGATACCAGCAGGATGTGTTCTCAGAACTAACAGTCATTGTCAATGTCTACCTCTGCAAAGCAGAGCTATGAATTGTCAACAGATGTATTTTAGAAAAGGTGTCCCGCCAGATAGAAAAAGCACATTTGGTACTAACAAGTGAGGCTGGGGATGTAGCTCAGTTGGTGGAGTGCTTGCCTATTGCGTGTAAGTCATGAGCTCCACCCCCAACAATGCATAAACTTGTCAAAGTAATATACCCCTGTAATCCCAGCACTCAGAAGGTGGAGGCAGATAGATCAGAAGTTCAAGGTCATCTTTGACTACATTATGAATTTGAGGTCAGCCTGGGACATATGTGATACTGTCTCAAGAATGATAATGTCGCCGGGCGGTGGTGGCGCACGCCTTTAATCCCAGCACTCGGGAGGCAGAGCCAGGCGGATCTCTGTGAGTTCGAGGCCAGCCTGGACTACCAAGTGAGTCCCAGGAAAGGCGCAAAGCTACACAGAGAAACCCTGTCTCAAAAAAAACCAAAAAGAATGATAATGTCAAATCGAAATGGTCCTTGGATAGCAAGCATCAATCTTAAGAACAGACATCAGAATGACAAGTCAGCATGATCCACCTTGACATGAAAGAGACACACAGAGGGTACAACCATGAAAGTGTTTGCCTGGGTGAGGCTGGGAGCTCATTCCTCAGTGAGTGGAGATGCTGAAGCTGTTCCCTCTGGCATCAGGGAAGAAGACTGGAGTGGAGTGAAAGATTCACCATAGTCAAAAGAAACCAAAGCTAGAAGGAAAAAAGAGAACCCACTGGGATGCCAATTCAGTCTCACTATAATGCTACTAAGGTTAAAGGTTAAAGGCCCTTCATTCTTAGAGAAAGCATCTTTCAAAAGTAGTCTTGTTATTCATTTTGATATAACATGTTTGCAGTTTAGAAAAGTTAGAAGATGAAGGAAATAAACACCCTTCCAATATCTCATGGCCCACAGACAGCTGTCACCAACTCCCCCTCTTCCTGTTACTCCTCCTGTCATTTCTCCTCTCTGTCTCTCTGTCTCTGTCTCTCTGTCTCTCTCTGTCTCTGTCTCTCTCTCTTAAACAAATAAAACTTGAGATTTACAAGTCACTATTTACTTTAAAATTATATCATGAGCATTTATCAAGCCATTACATATTACCTGAAAATACTAAAATATGATGTTGCTGTGCCATAACTAATAGACACTACTGAGTAATGAAGATTGGCTTTTTGAATGGATGGGGCACATTGTAAGAAGTTGATTGATGTGTAACTGCATGAGATTAGTGAAGAATTGCCGCTCTGGAAGCAGGAAGAGGGTCCTGGAGGCTCAGCCCTGGTGGAGGGAGATCCCAGAGGCAAGTGTTACCTCCCTCTGTGTACACAGCAGAAGCACATATCTGTCTTCTGAATCCTTGTTTCCATGCCTGGAGTGCTGTACTCAGCAAGTTTACAGCAAACATTTATTGGAAATAAGGTGGAAACAAACCCCAGGTTTACTCTCTTTCTCACACATCAATTCCCTTCCTCCTTTTGCGCCCTCCTCATGTTCGGCTGCTCCAGACACCTTGTGGGTGTTTAGTTCTTCCTTTCCATACTAGCTTCTGCACACACTGACTTCCTGGTTTGGACACAATTATATCGTTTACCTGCTCAGTATCTCACTGGATGCCTCTCCTACCTCTTGAGTAAGGAAATCTCACCTTCCTATCTCCTTCCCTCCCATCTTTTACCATCTGAGCAATGATGCCCACAGGAGCACCAGATCTCCCAGCCCACACATTCTGCATCTCTCCTACTTCCTACTCCACTGACAGAACCAAATCTTCATCTCCTGTCCAAAGCAATGCACGCTAGTAATGCGCGCCTTGTGTTGTTTCATAGCCCATGCCTACATCAGCATTTCTATTTCGTGTTCTCTCTCTTGTCCTTGAAGAACTCCTGGTGGGGTCTAACTCTCAGTTCAAATCGCAGTCAATATTAATACTCTATAAAGATCACGTGCAGTCTCACGCCAGACCACACAGCCAAACAAAACCAGTCATTCCTCTCAGCACTCATCATCCCACTGTCTTTGTTTATTCATAGAGTACTGTTTCACTTATCAATTTCTATGACTTACTCTGTCTTGCTCCCTGCTGTTCTACAAGTCCTTCCGGTGTAGACCACAGCTTTGGTCTTTGCCAGTCCTGTGTATGGCACAATGGCTGCCTCCGAACAGGTTTTGAGAAAATGTTTGTAAAGCTGAACTGACAGTACCAAGTACTACACAAACATCAAACTCTTGCCATTATCTATAAATGTTATCTATAACAGAATTTCAGTGTACAAGTGCCTGTCACCAAGATCAGGAGTCCATGTGGTGTCCAAAAGTATACTCATCAAACTATATATATATATACGTATATATGTAATTTTAAGTAGAGAATAATATAATGCTTTATGACTTTTTTAGATATCTTTACTAATAGTTTAAACCCCTGCCTTTCTCCTGTATTTATCTCCCTACCTCTTCCCAATTGAAGTTCCCCTCACCCTGTTTCTACCTTTGAGTCACTGGTACACTTTTATTCTCCTCATAGTTTAAAGAATTCCGCTCATCTGGGATGACAATATTCCCCCAAGAGTCACAAACTATCTAACAAAAACCCTAACACCAGGCATGAGAATCCCCTTTGAAATTGCTGGTCAAAGTCTTGAAGACTAGATTTCATGGTACCAGAAGGTGCCATGCTAGCCTCCAAAAGAGGGAAGCTACATTTGGAGACACCAATGTAATGCAGGTAAAGACACATGTCATAAACAGGGATACAAAACTGACTGCTTTTCTACTTTTAACTCTGTTGTGTATTTGTCTCATGTTGTGGGAGGGAAGTCGATAAGTACATAACAATATAAATGATAGTCCAAGTGTATGATCCAAAGGGAAGCTCCATGGCTTCAGAATGGCTGTTCTGTCTATACAGAAGTTCATTGACATGTGTAGACTTTGAGATTGGCTAATCTCACTGAATTTTTTTTTTTACAAGTTCTCCAAAATAAAGTTTTGATTAAAAGAATAAAACAAAAACTATTTAATTTGGGCTGAATACATGGCTAGGTCTACACAAACATGGGAAACTGAAATCAAATTCCAGCACCCATGTTAAAAAGAGGAGGAGGAGGAGGAGGAGAGCAGCAACAGGCAGGTGTAGCAGACACAAGAAGATCCCCGGGTCTTACTGCCCAGCCAGTTAGCCAAATCAGAGAGCTCCAGGTTCAGTGAGAGACCCTGTCTCAAAAGACAAGGTGGACAATGATTGAGGAAGACACCAGAGGTCAGTCTCTGGCCTCTACACACACACACACACACACACACACACACACACACACACACACACACACAATCTAATTCATCCCAAAGTCTAGAAACCCTCCAACATCTTTCCATCATGCCTTAGAACACAAGTTCTTCACATGATGTAAAGAACTGAGATTAGGCAGCACACTTCTTCCCTTTCCTGTACAACCGCTTCACTGACCTTCACTCTGT